TTCAATGACTATTTCTTATTCTTTATACAGAAGTTATTCAAAATATTTAGAGAATCACTCATAGAGTTAAATTAACACACTCTCTAAAAAGCTTTATGTAAAAGATTTATATAAATAACAGAAACATTAAACGAAGAATAAAGAATTATTAGAAATTAAACAATTTTCGATTAGTTTTGAAGCATCATTTATGATAGGAAGAGTACCTTTGAATACAAAAAATATTTTCGTGGAATTCACATATATTTTCAAAGAAAATAGCGAGTATAAGTTCGAAGTCAAAGTTCTGCGGCTTCCCATTACACATCTTAGCAATCAGGACTAAAGGTATGGAACGGTATTAATAACAAGATTTAGAAGTTTCTAGAACACTCTAGAGGATTGGAATATGTTTTTCAATATTCTAAAAGAACACAATTTTTAATTTTTATGCAGATAAACAATGATATAAACGATGTAGTAGTTGCCTCACTGGGAAGGTGAAGGGATGCTGAGCCTCCGAAAAATTATTAAAGTTGGCCCACAGGAGGTTTGAAAGAAGTTCAGTCATCTCCTGGCTAAAACTCTTAGCGCCGCTGCTTCTAGAGTGACGAATGAATTTGTCTACAAATCATTCATTTCATCATCTTACAATAGAGCTGTCGAACTTTGATATGTTATATGATTGTAGTCACCATGGGTCTTATATCGTAATATTTATTGAATTCCCTTTCGAATAGGATCCTCCTAAATTTTTGATTACACAAAGTTTTAAATTAAAAAAAGATAATAGATGATAGTCGTTCAGATTAATCATTATTTAGTTATCTTATTTTGAACGTTTGAAATAAAATCTAAACTACCAGATCTTGTTGAGAAGTTAAACTACAATTTAAATTTTGCTTTAAATCTAAGTACAACTCCTTTTGTTAACAAGAATAAGCAAAGAGAAAGAAACTACTTTTATTCTTCTTATCTCTTCATTATTTACTTATATTCATATCATTCTTTTGCGTTTCTTTTTCACATCTATTTCATTCTAAAGACATGTCTTTAATATATGATATAATAATAATCGGTGGCGGTATTGTAGGACTAGGAGTATTTCGTCAATTGAAATTAAATGGTTATAAAAATGTTTTACTGTTAGATAAATCTTCACAAATATTAACCGGTGCAAGTTCTGGTAATAGTGGAATATTACATACAGGATTCGATACGATACCAGATACTCTAGAATCAAAATTAGTCAAACGTGGATATGAATTATATCAATCCTTTGCTCAAGATATTGAATTACCAATTAAAAAGATTGGCGCTTATATTATTGCATGGAAACCAGATGAATTAGATATACTAAAACAAATTCTTAATACTGCACACAAAGTAAGTCATTTCATTATTTGTTTTATTAACTTTATCATTTCGACAAACATAGCACACTTTTCTAAAGGAAAAAAAAGCTATGAACAAACATGAAATAATTCTATTACGAATTCAAGAAAAATAGACAGTCGATAAGTTTGCACCACATTGTGGGAAATTATGAAAAAGTATTCAATTAGTTGAAATTTGTTTAATTAATTTTCAAGCAAGTAAAGTTTCGAAAAAAATGACAAATATAAAAGTTTCAACATGTTCTTAACGAAAATTTAAGTTCTTAGACATCCATATTGCATAAACTCATATTCTTTATTTGTAGATGCAAAGATATTCTTTTGTGAACAAAAGACAATATTCTAATAGTCTTGTTTTTCTTGTTCTGCTAGTTTCAATTTTAAAAAT